AACAGTGGCACTATTGGAGAAAAAGACTCCAGCTTTACTCTCTCTTGTCCTGAGTTTTCCTGCCATGGATAACAAGGGGTGACCTTTTTAGTTACAAGCCCATTGGACCCCAAAATGAAATCGAAAGCTGCCCTCAGCCACTTGGTCGCAAAATCAATTTCAATGTCACATATTTCACCAGTTCTACCTTGCCTACCACTTCAGCAGAGTGGACACACTAATTGGGCTTTATGATGAAATATACAGAAAGGAGGTTTTCCACTGTCCTCGGAGTGTTCAGCTCTTTTGAATTCAGTCACATTCAATTTTGGTGCTGAGTGTTTGGGCGTATCATCAGCTTCATCAGCTTCACAGCTTTCCACCTCTGTTCCCTCCAATATTTCTCATCAATATCTCACTCTGTTTGCCTCTCTCTACTGTTGGGTCAGATGCTGCCCAGTGGGTGTATTTCAGCTCAACCTTGATGTGTAATCATGGGTTGCCTTTGGGTTCGCTGCATCAAAGTTAAAGAAGGTAGCTGATCCATTGTTTCATTCTGCCCTAATTGGGTATAATTATTTAAAAATAAAATGTTTGTGAATATATGAAGTGTGTGGTAAAGCATTCTAATATAAATGAGCTGTGCATAAGCAAGGCCCATTAACCTCATTAGATTATTTTGTCCACACTCGGTAAATACACTGCCAGAGTGTTGCCTATAGTGGTACATCAGGTTCCCTGTGTTTCTTTCTGAGACTTGTTTTTTGATCTCTTAGAGCTCCTTCTCACCAGATCTCTTGTTGCCTTTCCCAGGACCCCTACGAGAGACTCCAGAGAAGGCTTCTCAAGTTTTCTGGCCTAGGACCGTCTTGTGGAGGATCTCTCTCTAGTAGGCAGCCCGCTCTGCCCCTCAGTCCTCGGAGCTCCTACTTCGTCTACCTGTCCGCCCTCCAACACCAGCACCCACATCAAAAGTGGTAAAGGAATGGATAAACCAGGCTAGAATTAAGGTTTTAGAATGGCCTTCCAAAGTCCTGACTTGAACCCCATTGAGCACATGTGGACAGTGCTAAAGAAACAGGTTCATGCAAGAAAACCATCACATTTAGCTGAACTGCACCAATTCTGTCAAGAAGAGTGGTCAAACATTCGACCTGAAGCTTGCCAGGAGCTTGTGGATGGCTACCAAAAGCGCCTAGTTGCCGTGAAAATGGCCAAGGGACATGTAACCAAATACTAATGTTGCTGTATGTATATTTTTGACCCAGCAGATTTGGTGACATTTTCAACAGACCCATAATAAATTTATGAAAGAACCGAACTTTATGACTGTTTTTTTATGACAAACAAGTATGTGTTCTGATCACTCTATCACAGAAAAATAAGAGTTGTAGAACTTATTGGGAACTCAAGAGAGCCATGACATTATGTTTTATACAAGTGTATGTAAACTTTTAACCACAACTGTATTTCCTGGTCACATCAGAAAGGACAGAAAACAGACAAGACAAGAAAAATATATATTTTAAAAATGAGCTTATAGATTGGAGAGAAACAAAATGAGTTTAATTTTCTTGAAATAAGTCAGTCAGTAGAACGTGGAGAATTCAGGGGAAATGTACAAATTAAATTTTTACCTTCATTTAATCTTTACTTTTCTTGGGAAACTGATTACTAGTAGTAATTCGTTAATGTATATTTCATAATGTGGTACTGGAAACAGTCGAATTAATCGTTAGTTCTGCTCTGACTCAGAAAACTGGGCAAACAGGCTAAAATGTAACAAATCAAGGATGGAATATAGCTAAGAACAAACAGAGAACAGAGATACAAACAGAGAACAGAGATATATATTATGTATTAAAAAAAGATGAATGCAAAATACAGTGGAAGGCAGTTTACAATCTCATCAGGTAAAGGTCAGACGAGGTCATAAAAAGGAAATCACCAAAGTCCATTAACACCAACTACACAACATAAATCAAGTGTTTACATCTGGAAAATAAAATAAAATCCTGAAATAAAAAATAATCTCATATTTCAAGACATGCCTTGAAATGTGAGAATATTTAAATTACACTTTAATAATAAATAATTATGCCGAACGATTTAAAAAAAAATCAGTGGCATCCCCTTGAACAGTTTGATATTTGACGGTTTAGACAACTCATTTTTTATGAGTCATTTGGAATTTTAAAAAGTCATTTACTTTGTCTTTGCTGCATTTAACTAACTGAGGTTGTGCTAATTTATATAGAACAAGCAAAGACAAACAACAAATAAAGAGAGTCAACCACTGGTGGACATGGACAGCAGATAACCGTATAGCATTTGAGCTGCCCTCTGAGCTGGGTATTAAGCTCAAATGCAAATTCAATTGAAAATAACTAGGGGTCTTGCTGACCCCCAGGTTAATTCCTCCATTTCATCTTATTCATGACAGTTATTGTTGTCTGTAGTTTGGTAATCATGTTTGGTTGGCATAATTACAGTTTTGGACAAAAAATAATTTAGCTTTTCAAAGATGAGCTTCTTAACAATTATGCTAAAATATAAAATTTAGAAACAAACTTTTATGATGAACATGTGAGGGATTCTTGCTTTTAATCAAAGGGACAACATAGGCTGCTGATTTCTATTCAACAGGGACCTCAAAATGTTGAACTGAAATATTACAATATATTGTTTTTAAAACTTTCATAAATCTTCACATAACTTAGACTTAACCTGGGTGATCAGATTTATTTGCATCTAACGGCTCAATGAAGCTTCATGGGAGAAGCTTCATGGGAGAATAAGCGTTCTGTCTACTAAAGTGTTAATTTGTGTAAAAGACGTAAAGATTCAAATAAAGATCTGGAAAATACAAAATGCTCATGAAAATCCGAAAAAACTTGTTAAATTGTTTGGGCTGAATTTGTTCTAGGTTTTTATTTCCCTACATTTCTTTCTCTACATTTCTTTGGATTATTTAGGTCTTCTTATTTAAAAAAAATCAAGAACCACATTATTACACACAGGCATTAAAATTCTCCAGGGAAATGATTTTATTCCACAAAATTTATATATTTTATATTCAAGAGGGAAGCAGTTCACATTTAAATATTGTGCAGGCCAATGTAGACAAAGTCACCATTGCAGGGAAGCCTGATTTGTTGCTACTTGTCACAGGCATATCAATGACACCGTGGGTTTCTGACATCCACAGACCGACTCAAAACATCAAACTACACGACAGAAGAGAACAAGAGATAAGAAACCGCTAAGAAGAGGGAGAATGAAAAGAGCAAGAGGGGAAGGGAGGAAGCTACAGGACATGACCCACAAGGATTTGAATGTGCGATAAGATTTTAGCTCAGCGGTGTCCAACAACAGATCACACCTCACTGTCTTATCTACAACAGCAGAAGAGGGGAGGAATTTATGAGTATGGATGCATGTGTGTGTGTGTGTGTGTGCGTGTGTGTGTGTGTGTGTGTGTGTGTGTGTGTGTGTGTGTGTGTGTGTGTGTGTGTGTGTGTGTGTGTGTGTGTGTGTGTGTGTGGATGTGAGTGAGGGAGAGACAGAGAGTGGGGGATACAAGTGGTCACTTTACTTTCCATCCAATCCCAAGCAGCTGTTAGGCTGCAGGAACATGGGTTCTGTCAACCAGTCGAAAACAAGCTTGAAAGTAGCTTTGAACAATTGCCCTTGTTGCTCCCATTTTTTTATTCTTTGCATTTTAAAGCATCTACCTGGTTATGATCCACCAGCAAACTAATATACATTTCTTGCCAGTCTTTTCCTATGAGATAAAAATGAGACTCAGTGATTGGTTTAAATTATCCGGCTTCTGTCTCACCAGCATCATTTTTTGTGTGCACCAAAGTCTCCAAATATATTTCCTTAATCTTGTCATGTCCCGGGGTTTTCTTTCATCTCCTTTGTGGAGTTTTGTGTATGCACTGGTTTTTTCCACCACTAGAGGGAGCCTATTCCATTCTGTCGGAGGGCGGGATGACGTCATCCCACACCTGAGGCGAGTTGAGCTCATCAACGAGATGTTTAAGAGAAGCAGACTGCCAGGAGAGTTACAGGCTATTTCAATGGCGTTAAAATGGAGTGAAGAATTAAGCGGAAAGAAAGTGTTAATTTGTCTGACTCAAGCAGTGCATTAATAAGTATTATGGAACAAGAGTCGGAAACAAGACAAGAAATTCTGATAGATATAAATAAATCAATATATAAATGGAAAAAAATTGATCTGATGTTAAGTTTATTTGGATTCCGGCTCATACCGGAATAGTTGGAAATGAATTAGCAGATACATTTGCAAAGAGTGCGAGTAAGAGAAATGAAGTTGTATTTAATGTTAAGTATAGTAAAAATGAGATAAGGAGTATAAGTAAAATATATTACACGAAGTGGCAGGAACAATGGGAGGGAGAAAAGAAGCAAGATTCTATTATAATATTAAAAAAAGTGGGGGAATGTAGAAAAGAAAATAGGAATAAGAAAGAGGAAGATATTATATCTAGGTTAAGATTTGGACATGTAGGGTTAAATAGTACTTTGAAAATAATAAATAAGCATAGTACAGGGTGATGTAATTTTTGTGGAAAGTTGGAAACAGTTATACATATTTTTATGGAACGTAATAAATATAATCTAGAAAGAGAGGAATTAGTTGAAGAGTTAAATAGGAATAAAGTTAAATTAAATATTAGAGACCTGCTACAAAAATCATCTGGAGTTGTGGTTTTTAATTACGTGTTTAGGTTCCTTAGAAAAACAGGTCTAACAGGGAGATTATAGGGATTAGACATCTAGTTCATACTCCAGTCCAGAAGGTGGCGGTAATGCACCTGAAAGTTGTTTGCCAACCGCCATAAAACAAAAAGAAGAAGAAGAAGCCGACTGCCGAAGAATTGAGGCTTGTCCCGGGTGTCCGGACACTGAGGCTCCGCCAGAAAGCAACAAGAAGTTTCCAAAATTGAAAGTAGAGCTGGTCGAGGTCGGAGGAGATGGTTGGAGGAGAAGGCGGAAAAACAAATTACAAATTGAAATTGTAAAAGGCGGATTGAGCATAAACTGGTATGTGAATGGTTCGGTTGGTAATGGAGTTAGGAGATGAGGAAGATATGGATTTGATGGGTGGACGCCAGTGGGGAGAGGAAGAGGGAGAGGACGTGGAAGAAACAAAATAGATGAAAGAAAAGAAATTGGTAAAAGTCAAGGAAGTAAACGAGAACTGGAAGAAAGTAGCTCAGATGAAGAAAGGATAGTTAGGAGGAAAGTTGTGCGGGAGGAATTTAAAATAATATTAAAACTTAAAAATGAGGAAGACAAGATAACATTAGCCCCATTGTGGTGAGAGAAATAAAAAAGAAAATTGGAGATGTTGAAATGGTAAAAATGTTGAGAGATGGGAATCTGTTGGTGGTTTGTAAAAACGAAGAACAAAAGAACAAGGCTCTAAACGTGGAGAATATTTGTAAAAATAATGTGTTGGAGAAAAGAATCATTGGAGAAAATAAAAAAACTAGAGGAGTGATATGGGATCCCTCAAGATGAAGATCTTGATATAATCAAGAAAAGTGTAGTTGGTGCAAAAGTGAATAACTTAAAGAGATTGTCCAAAACAATAAACGGGGAGAGAGTGGGGAGTCTGTCAATACTCATGGAATTCGAAGAGAAAGAATTACCACTAAACATCAAAATAGGTTATCTCAGTTTTCAGGTCAGGCCTTATATCCCTCCACCGCTTCGTTGCTTTTAAAATGTCAAAGATATGGACACATAGCAGCAGTTTGCAAAGGAAAGCAGAGATGTCCAAAATGTGGAGAAGATCACAAATTAGAAGAATGTAAAGAAGAAGTACAAGAAAAATTTTGTAATTGTGGAGGGAATCATAGAGTTACATATGGAGGATGTGAAGTCAGGAAGAAAGCAAAAGAAGTCACACAGATTAAAATGACTAAAAATATAAGCTATGCAGAGGCAGTTAAAAATGTGAAAGAACAGAAAATAAGAGAGATTGAAAAAACGAGGCAAATTCCACTGCAAAGTGAGATATAGTCAGAGGAAAAGGTTGTGATATCAGTAGAAAAACTAAGATTATTTATGGCATATGTTATCAACTGTACTGACCAAGCCAAGAATAAAACGGAGAAGATTAAAATTATAGTGAGGGGAGCGGAAAAGTTTTTGGGGTTTAAAGAGGGATCATGGGAGAACATAAACAAAAATTGGAGGTAGACAGGAAGCCAGGAACATCTGGTGGAAATAATTCATGTTAATATTACAATGGAATGCAAGAAGTTTGATTGCTAACGGACAGGAACTTAAAGGATATATTGATAGTCTTGAGGAAAAACCAGAAATTATTTGTATTCAGGAAACATGGCTAAAAGCAACGTTAGATTTTGTGATTAACGGATATGGTAGTGTAAGAAGAGATAGGCAGGAGGGAGGAGGAGGTGGATGTGGAATATTTGTAAAAAAAAAGGGATACAATATCAGGTTTTAGGGAAAGGGAAAGAACTTGAATATATAATAATTGAAATTTGGGAACAAGGTGGTAAAGTTAAAATAATAAATTTTTATAATCCATGTAAATTATTATCAATTGAAATAATGGATGAATATTTGGAAAAAAAATAATTTGGTGTGGGGATTTTAATGCTAATAGTACATTATGGGGTAAATGTAACGATAGAAATGGGAAAATAATAGAAGAATTAATAGAAAGTAAAAATCTGTATGTATTAATGATGGGAGGGAACTAGAAGGAGTACTAAAGAGTACTAAAGAGTACTAAAAGAGTACTAAGAGGAGTACTAAAGATCCAACAATATGTCTAGAGCATGAAATTAGAAAGGCACAAGTAAATAAAGAAAATGTGGTGGCAATATTTTTTGATATAGAAAAAGCGTATGATATGATGTGGGTAGAGGGATTATTAATTAAATTATATAGGTTGGGCATTAAAGGAAAGATATATCAATGGATTAAAGACTTTTTACTAAGTAGGAAAATTCAAGTTAAAATCGGTGAAGTAACATCAGGAGTATATAGAGTAGAAAATGGAACACCACAGGGGAGTATAATAAGTCCGTTATTGTTCTCTATTATGATAAATGATATTTTTAAAGGTATTGATAAAGAAATGTGATGTTCACTCTTTGCGGATGATGGAGCGGTTTGGAAAAGAGGGAAAAATTTAGGTTTTATTGTTAAAAAATTACAAGATGTTATTAATGAGCTAGAGATGGGCATGGCAATGGGGATTTAAGTTTTCAGTTGAAAAAACAAAAGTAATGGTATTTACTAGGAAAAAAATAAACAGGGAAGTAAAATTAAAATTATATAGTCAAGAATTAGAGCAAGTAAAGTGTATAAAATTTTTAGGAGTATGGGATGATGATAAACTAAAATGGAATGTACATATTCAGAAAGTTGTTGATAAAAGTAAGAAAATCTTAAATATTTTGAGACGCTTGGCTGGCAATGATTGGGGAGCAGATAGGCAATCTTTGAGACAGTTTTATACATGTATGATAAGAGCTAACATAGATTTTGGTTGTATTGTTTACGGTTCAGCAGCGAAAGTACATTTGGTTAAATTAGATGTAATACAACATCAAGCATTAAGATTATGTTCTGGAGCATTTAAAACCACACCAAGAGCAGCAATGGAAGTAGAGATGGGAGAAATGCCATTAGAATTAAGAAGATTAAGGTTGGAATTAAATTATTGGTTAAATTTGCAAAGCAATAATATTGATCATCCGGCTAGGGAAATTTTAAAACCATGTTGGGAAAAAGAAACAAAAGAAATGGGGAGTCTTGGATGGACAATTGAAAACAAAATAAAAGAATTTAACATGAGTAGTCTGGAAATTAGTCATGCAACACCAACATCAGTAATACCACTATGGATTCTACCAGAAGCAGCAGTAGATGTGACAATAATGGATAAGAAACAGAATAAATCTTTCATCATTGATAGTAGTTCAGTGCAGGTACTTTTAAACAATTACTATCAGTATATTCAAATCTATACAGATGCATCAAAAATAACTGGAAAAGTAGGTATAGCGTTTGTAGTACCAGAATTCAATATAAGAATAGGAAAACGAATTACAGACGGATTATCAGTGTACACAGGAGAAATGATGGCAATTCTATTGTCTTTACAATGGGTAGAAGAGATAAAACCATTAAAAACATAATCTGTTCAGATTCAAGATCTGCATTATTAAGTATTAAAAACAAGCAATCGGATAGTAGAATGGACATTTTATTAGAAATATTTCACACATTATATAGAATAAAAAATATGGGGGTGATAGTTAATTTTGTATGGGTTCCAGCACATATTGGAATAGAAGGAATTGAGAGGGCAGATAAATTAGCAAAAGGGGCACTTCAAAATCCAATTAGCATTAAAGTTAAAACAAGTAAAGCTGAAGGAAAGAGTATAGTTAAGGAAAAACTGACGGAAAAGTGGCAGGAAAGGTGGGATGAAGAAATAACAGGAAGATGGTATTATAAGATTCAGAAGATGGTAGGAGAAAGAAGAAAGGGAAGAAGAAATAGAAAAGAGGAAAGAGTGATAACAAGGATAAGATTTGGGCATACAGGACTTAACTACTCACTTTTTAGAATTCAAAAGCATGTAACTGGTAAATGTGAGTATTGTGGAGAATGGGAAACAGTAGAACATGTTATTCTAGAATGTGATAAATATGAAAGAGAGAGGAGATATATGAAAAAAGAGTTTGAAAGTATTAAAGAAAAATTTAATTTAATAGATATTTTGAGGAAGAGTTTTGAGAGCAAACATATACAAATAGTTATTCGATTTTTAAAGAAAACTAAGATATTCAGTAGAATTTGATAGAGTAGACATAAGAGTTAATGTATGGATGATAGTGAGTAGAATATAAATATGGATGTAAGTATGTATGTGTAGGTGTAAATATAAATATGTTTTTTCTTTTTTTTTTGTGTGTAGGTGTATGTATGAATATATATAGGTATATATATACAGAGAGAGCGTTAGACCAACACGAGCCACACTCCATACCAGTAAGTGGCGGTAATGCTACTCTAAGTTTGTTGCCAACCGCCAATAAACACAACAAGAAGAAGAAGCCGACTGCCAGTCCTTCAGCGCCGGAGTGTTTGCTAGTCACGGTACCTCTGAGCCCCTAGAAGATTGCTTCTGTTTATCAGCTCTTTGTAAAAATGTTCCTTGTTGCTCTTCTTACCTTCAGGTGTTTCCTCCTGGCTCCTCGTGTTCCCGTCTATCCTTGTGACGCCGTGGAAGGTACCCACAGGTTGCCCAAGCCCCCAGACTCACCTTATCCGTGCACCAACCAGTTCCTCCAGGATTTCCACGACTGGCAGTCGAGCCGCTCCTTTACACCGCCGAACCTAGCCTACCTGTCCCCCCTCCGACGTGCTCCCGTTGCCTCCTGAAATCCTGCCGACAGACATCTCAACTACCTGGAACCACAGAGAACTGAAACCCTGGACATTACAGTACTCTCTTACCTCTCAAACCAGCCGACCTCAAGTAAGATATGTCCCTTCACGCACAACACTACCATTTCCCATGAAATTGAACTCACCACCATCTCTGCCTCTCTAGTGAACCGTTTGTTTCCTGAAGTTACATTCCTCCCTGGACCCGACCCGAGCCTCCAGTACCCACCAGCTGTGTTCTCGATAAACTTCATTCTTAACTCACATTTTCTCCTGAGTCGTGTTCTGCATATGGGCTAGATTAATTACCCCCATTATGACAAATCTAAGCAAACTGTTAATCAACTGACCAAATGACTACAATTCAAAAAAGTCAAAAATGAAATAATTTTCTGTTGGGAAAGATGAAAAGGAAAGTCTATGAACTTAGTAGGATCTCTGGGCTGCACAAAGCGATCTCTCTCACAACAGGCTTCCCACTGGTATTTAGAAAAAAGATTAGGCATTTATGCAGATATAACTGTTTCTACAAAAGTTAAGAACTGACAGGCACACACACTACAACACCACAAGTCTTTGATTGAAGGCTTATTTAATGATTAAATAAATACATATTGTTAATAAAATAGAATAGCAACAGCTAGTGCAGTGTGCAAAGAGCATCTTAAAAATTAAAAACTGTTCTCGGTGAGAACCAGCTCTTTACTATCATTTGTCATGACAGAAACGCCAACACTATGAATACTATCATTCATAGTAAAGAGCCGTTCAGAAGAATCGGCTCGTTCATAAATGTTGCATCACTTTATTGCAGATTTTGGTCATAGTATTGTCATACATGCAACACAGGAGCGGCCATAGGAGGATGTGGGCCCCTGGGCTAGAGCCAATGCACGGGGCCATATACAGTAATCATGCACCATCTCCTTTTGCTCTGCCAAGAGAGAGGACTGATGGACCGTCCTGTCTGCCATGTCAACTCTCCATTTGCACGGTTCACAACAATCACCTCGATTTTGTGACTTTTTCACTTTATTTCGCACACACACAAAAATAAAAAATAAAAAATTCACGTTTTTTAAAGATCGGTGATTGGCCAGTGCAGCAGTACTTTCTTTTTAATCAATCTGCAGAATGATTGATTACTATAATCAATGTGAAGAATATTATTTCAAACAAAATACATTCAGTAGTTGTCAAATTACTTCAACATCTTAAATATGTCTACATATTTGACAAGTTTTTCTCAGAAAAACTTGACAACGTTTTCATTCTCTATGTACTGTATTTATTTATCCATCATATCTATCTAGGCCTGTCGCAAGAAACAAATCAATTAATCGCACGATAAATTAAAACTATCGACCTCATTTAATTATCATCTATATCGTTTCTTCCTGCCTTTTTCTCTTACTGTTGATGACACTGAATGAAAAAAGGCTCCACTCCAGTGCTCTCCACTGACCCTCCCTTCCTTATTTCCTCAGTGTAATGCCCAGCGTGCGCTGCACGATATTATGTTGCCGATTGTCGGCCCATTATCAAAACCTGAAAGACACATTAGCCGACAGAAAGCCTAGCTATAATGGTTCGATCGAACCGTGTTGTGTCCAACAATGGACAAAAAATAATAAATCCAGTTCACTAATATTAAAACCAGGCATTAATCAATTCCTTACCACAATCTACCTGCAATGCATGTGGCTAGTGTCAGTCCTGACTGAATGAAAATCATTATAACCTATTTATGTCACGTTAGCGAAGAACAGCTGAAAAGTTACCAGGTTTTCTGGTAGAAATTTCGCTCCAACTCCTCCCCTCGTTATTTATATTTTCTTTACACGAAATGTTGAATAAACATTCATGTTGTTTCCGATGTTTGCTGGACTTCGGGTTGCACTGTATCAGCTGTTCGGGATTCCCTCTGTGTTTCCCCTCAGAAAGCACGAGGAGAATCCGCACTTTCTGATTGGCTACCGGTCACATTCAACAGGTGTTAAGGTCCCAGTCTGGGCAAATCTTTGATTTAGATCGAAACGATCTACCATAACACACAACACAAGTGGCAATCTTAGAACGAGTAATGTTCTAAGATTGTCATTCGGGGTAAAAAATCCTGTTGTTTGAACTTTTGCATCAGGCAGTTGGATTCTTCTCTATTAAAATCTCATGATTAATAAGGGCAATATACTATACAGACTTCATAATCTGCACTCTGCAGTATTTATTTCCACTTTGGCTTTATGTTGTTCAGTTTTTATTCAAGTACATTTATTGTTAATGGAGACTAAGAATCTATTTTATTTTTGTTTTTGGTTGTTTAATTTATTTTGTGTATCAGTCCCAGAGTTAAGTGTTCTTTTGAAAGTAAAGTGTATCTATCTTTGGCAGAAAATCGCATGTATTATTACGTAATTTCCATTAAATCAATGTAAAAAGGTCTTCAAACAATATTATTGTTTATCGCAATAATTTTATAGATAATTTAAATCAGCTGAAACTCTGAGTGCCTTTAAATCTAGACTAACACCAGTCTGGTTAGAGTTGTATGCTGATAAAAGAAACATTTATCAACATGTTGGTGTGTATTGATGGCACCTGAAAAATCTGATGTTTACTGGTTTTCTCAAGTGCTGACTGTGTGTTCTTTGACTTTGTATTTTTGTGATGTAAAGCACTTTGAAGTGAAATGTGCTATACAAATAAACTTGATTGACTTGAAACTTGAAGAATCCTGACCCTATTATATTTAAATGACTTAAATGACTCACAATTAATAGAGTCACATGGGTGTCCTTGTACACAGCTGCACCTTCTGTCAACAGTTTGTCAAGCTGATGAAATTTGTAGAATCTGGCCCTCATCCATCTCTGCTTTGATCATGAGTGGGGTTGTGCCTGCAGGTTGAAGACGGGCCATCTGGTGACCTGGTGCAGTTAGTAAAACCTGGGGTGACTACTCCGGCAGCGCTGAGCCTCTCCAGATTTCTGGAGAGCATCATGGGAACTGAATAAATAAATACACAACAGGGGACGTGATACACGCCATGAACAATGTTGCTGCACTTTTACAATGCCACCACTGAGTCCATCTGGTTCACTCTTGTGCCAAGTAGAAAGGCAGTCTCCAGCATATCACTTAGTCTGTCATCTCTCCAGAACCTGAAAATGTTTCAAGACTCTAAAGCATGCAGATCGATTGAAGCCATGCCATCTGTCCGTGAATTTAAACTGAGACGCCCCCATCCACTCAGTGGAACATGGGGAGTTATATCTAAAACCTCAAAAATACAAAAAGCTTCCTGCTTCAGTAACATGACCACAGGAAATTACTGAAACTATCTCTTTATACAATAACACTCTTCTAAAAAATATTTGTGTAAACAATGGATATTGTAGTTTTTGACTTACTATATCTCTTCACGAAACACTGAGGCTCCTCTAAAAATATTTACATCTGTCCATTTTTATAGATCAAACAACAAATATACTTTATTATGTATGAATACACACAGTGAAACCTGCCTTAGCGCTGCTGCTAAAGCTAATATCACCAGTCTCTAATTAGACAGTACAAGCAATCAGCATTGAGGAAATTGAATGGCGCTCCTGGATTGACTTCTTTGGAAATGCCACCCAACACTGTGCTACTCAGTATTTCCCCTAGAAATTCCCTCTGGGAATGCTGCTAGCCAGCAGTGGTTTTAAATAATTTGGAGTTTTACTGAAAAGTCTGTGAATATTGAACGGAGAATCCACTGTAACATGTTTATCACCAATTCTAACTTGAATTCACACATAAATAAATATACTGACACTAAAAAGTGTTTGCTGGTAGTTTCAACTTGCTGGTAGTCAATGAGGGATCAAACTGAAAAGTTGTTTTCCACTTCTTATTGCATTTACCTTTAAACAGACAAATAGGGGTGAAAAGGTGATCAGTTTCAGTTAAAGCTAAGCTGTAGGAATATAGCAGTATGTTAGGGTAAAATATTATAAAAAACACATCATTGTGTACAATAAACGTTACGTCACCAAAATATTTCCTCATCAGTTGGCGTTCTCATTTATTGGCGTTGTAAATGCCCATGTCATAGTATGTTCTAGTTGGGGTTGTTGCCCATAGTGTCCAGTAGGGGCACTGTAGTTCAGTTTTTGTTGAGTCGCTCGCGCGAGTCTCCTGTCAGTCAGCACTGTGGGCCGAAGTACCCACGGACAGGAGGAAGAGAGGAGCATTTCATTTTGTACTTGAGCTGGCGCTCATATTTTCAGTAGCGGCTAGGATAGCACGACGGCCTTTACCGCTATGGACTTTGCAGCCCTCGGACGGCGGAGCGAGGTGCTCTTTTGGAGCTTTATTTGGTTTATGTAATGTATTCATGTTTTATGTGATGTATTCATGTTTTGTGTATTTTTTCTTTAGTTTTCACGGTGTCTGAAAACTGGTTTCAACCCAGTAAAGTGAATATACTGCACCCGTCGAAGCTCTCCGTGTTTTTTCTTGAGTCTGAGGGACTGCTACAGTGAAAACTCGTCGCTGAGTGAAAGCTGGTGAAAGCTGGTCCCATACGAAGCGAGTGCAACCCACGTGTCAGTCGAGCGAGGCCTGCACCAACCAAGAGAGACGACTCCTGTAAAGAATCATTGCTACTTCATCCCGGCTCTTCATATTGGACTCTGACTCGGTTATTCATAAAAGGTTCAGGTATTTTACTCAATAAGGACTTTCCTGATAAAAAGATCAAATTACCTGAACAGTAGTTAAGAGTTTAAAGCCTTAAATGCAGTTGTGGTTTAATGTCTCAAAGCTACAGTGAGCATGCATTAAGTAAATGCTATTTCTCGAATGTATGGGTTGGTCATCCTGCAAATAATTTGCAGTGCATCAGCAGTATTTACGGTCATATTTGTTAAATGTGTGAATGTGAAATTGTTGACTTACATAGTGTAAATGTCTGATGTGAGTGTTGTTTCCCACAAAGTCTTAAGTTAAAGCAACACTCACTCAAATTTAAGTCCAGACATTAATACAAAGCACAAACACACATATCGAAGGAACAAAATGTCGTACCCTGCTGAAGAACCCGACAACATAGAACAGCAAGAGGTGAGATCCAGCAATCGTGAAAGACACCTAACTGAAAAGGGCAAAGAGATGCATGAACAAGATGCAAAGAAACATGAACGAGCATTCAACAGAGCATATAATTCTTGGAAGAAGTCAGCTACAGAAATTAGAACAAAACTGAAGGGTTTCTGCTCACCTGGAGATTTAAACAGTGTCAGCCATGACATAAGAGACAAGTATGGCGCTGTACAACAACATTATGAACCCATTCGTCGAAATCAAAACATGACTCCAAACATAGTGAAAAGAATGGATGCCTGTACTGTGCTTACAACAGACATTTGTGAGATTATTGCAAAACGACAAGAAAATATTGATCAGCCTTTTAATGATCGTCTTGAAAAGGAAAGAGTAAGAATGATGTTAAACAAAAATGATTATGGATCTGTGTTTGGAGACACAAAAACTGAAACATCGTTCCCAGATGGCTCAGTTGCACGCTCGAAGTCAGATTCTTCAAACAGTCATGAAGCAGAAGCTGAATTTGCAGCTAAATTAGAACAGGCAAAGGCTATGCAAGAAATACTTGCACAGCAAACTAAGGTCAACCAAATGGAGAATGAATGGAAGTTAAAGGAAAATGAAGCATTGGCAAAGTTAAAACAAGAAGAAGTGGAAACAAAGGCAAGGCTTGAGCAGGAAAAAATCAAACTACAGCATTTAAAGGCAGAAAGTGAAGTAAAAATAGCAGCAGCACGTGTAAGAGCTTTAAGCACTTTAAATGATGTTGAAAGCTGTGAGCTAGCATCCTGCCACAACTTTGAGAACGCTTTAAATGACTCTGTCAATGTGCCACAGCCCTCCTTAAATGCACTGGCTTCGTCGTTCAAGCCTCACTACACTGGTGCAGAACGAGGAGAACTTAGCTTAGCTGAAGCCCTAGCAAACTCCCTTACCTTAAATCGACTCCCTGTACCAGAGCCAGCTATCTTTAGTGGTGACCCTCTAAAGTTTGTTGACTGGAAAGTATCCTTCATGGCGCTAATTGGCAACAAACCTTTACCTGCATGTGAGAAAATATTGTATCTAAAGAGTTATATTGCAGGTGAAGCTCGAAAGGCAGTAGAGGGATATTTTTATCGCAACACTGAAGAAGCATACCAGAGCATCTGGAGTGTTCTGCAAGAAAGGTATGGCAGCCCATTCATTGTTCAAAGAGCATTTAGAACCAAGCTTACAAAATGGCCCAAAATAGCTGCTAATGATCCTTTAGCACTGAGAGAGTTTGCAGACTTTCTTCAAAGTTGTGCGGAGGCTATTCCCCAAGTCAAGGGCCTAGAAATCCTGAATGATTGTGAGGAAAATCACAAGCTTCTCAAAAAACTGCCTGACTGGATAGTACAGAGATGGAGTCGCATTGTTGTGGAGGAGCTGGACAAACATCAGGAGTATCCCAGCTTTGCTCACTTCACACAGTTTTTACAAAAGGAAGCTAAGGTTGCTTGTCACCCTGTCGCCTCACCATTCCTAATGAGCGAAAAAACAGAAGAGAGACACATTAAAAGAGCTAAAGCACTTACTACGACCATCCAGACAAAATCTCCCTTCCCTAAAGTGGTCGCTCCTAAACCTAAGTCACCTTGTTTATTTTGCAAGGACAAATCGCATGGTATAGCTAAGTGTCCAACATTTTCAGCAAAAACCAGTGATGAAAAGAAAGTTCTCATTCGTGAAAATCACCTCTGTTTCGGATGTTTAAGAAAAGGCCATGCAATTGAAAGAATGCAAGGGACGTCACACCTGCAATAAGTGTGGCCGACGTCACCCCACCTGTCTCCACATAGAGGAAGTAAAGGAACCCAAAGAAAGGAGAACAGAGGTCTCTGCCTCCCCAGTTGAGAATGCAAACAAGGAAGTGCATAAAGTCATGACCCATGTACTTACGAGAAAAACATCTGCGACATCAAGCATAGTACCAGTTTTTGTGTCAGCTGCATCAGAGCCACAGAAAGAAATACTCACATACGCCCTTCTCGACACCCAAAGTGACTCTTCTTTCATTTTAGGAGACCTGGCCTCTGAGCTGAATGTGGATAACCAACCAGTGCAGTTAAAGCTCAGCACAATGACCTCTGTTGACACAGTTGTAGCAAGTAGTCTTGCTAGCAATTTACAGGTGCGTAGCTTTGACTCTGATGCCCATGTAAAAATTAAACAAGCCTACTCTCGTGACTTTATCCCGGTCGACAAGTCCCACATTCCCACTAGAGAAACTGCACTTCAGTGGCCACACCTTAGAGACCTAGCCAACCAGTTACAGCCACTACAAGATTGTGAAGTGGGTTTATTAATCGGTTATGACTGTCCATCAGCTCTAGCCCCCCTAGAAATTGTCACAGGACAATTGAATGAGCCTTTCGGACAAAGAACGATACTTGGTTGGAGTATCATTGGGTCTGGTAATCCCCACTTAGACAGAGAGGGAAATCAGAGTTATGTGCACCGTATCAATGTCAAACAAATGCCCACACCCTCAGCTGCTGATGTGCTTAAGGTCTTAGAGT